ATTTATGTAAAAGAAAAAGTATACATAGATTTCTTTTTAATTTTCCTAAAAGTGTTATATTTTTCTTGCTTCAAAAGTTTACAGCCTTTGGTAATACCTCTTTCTTAGCCTTCTATTACGTTGCCAACCAATCAATGGCGCGGCACGTGGCTGCCCCACAATAACTGCGGCTGATAGGAAATAACTAAACGTGATAACAGTTCAGATAAATCGTAACTGCAGCGATAAAGGGACGGTCAATGATCTTTTGGCCTAGGTGCAACGTGACTTGTAGATTTGTTTATATGAAGTTGAAAATTGATATCCCGGCTAAAGATATAGTTACATTTGTATCATTGAACGTTAAGCGTACATAAGCGATAGCGATTGACAGTAGTGGTTCAAAGTGGTTATTTCTAGATAAAATTATGGTTTATTATCAAAAACTATAATATCTGATCGATAGATGAATATACGTTGTCCACGTGTATTTTCTATTATTCAGCTCATTACATGGAAAGTTTACTTGTTGAACTTGAAAAGAACATAGGAAAAAATTCAAGAAAAAATATTGTTGTTATGAGTGGTTCACACAAACAGTAATAATAGATATATATTGAACTTACCAAGATATAGCAGCACCACCACTGCTACTTTTTATTGCATTTATCTCTTTTTAGGGTAAGAAATATTTTATAGCTGTACCTCGCAGTATCACCTATATTTATGGTCACTTTCTCGTTCCATAGTATATAACTAACTTATAAACTTTCTACTTATATAGGTATGAGGTATAGGGAGTAATCCTTTTCTCATAACGTAGTTGTGAAGTCTACAATTAGTGAATTCAAACAAACTCAGTGGCTTTATAATTTAAAACAACAAAGAAATTTAGACTTAAAAATCCGTATCTTTGTATCTAATCACCAATAATACAAATATTCTATATGAACTTTGACACAAAACAGTTTGACAATGCGGCGGTGATTGACAATGCAACAATATTATTATTGCTACTAACCATGACCCCAAACAGTATGTTCAAGGCCTCGTAAATAATAAAATAACTTTCCAATACTTAACATTCTTTCTATTAAATCGCTGCCTTAGAAGTGTATGCGTGTAGGTAGGCTATCTTACAATATTTTATGTAATGTTATCATTATATATTATTGTATTTTTTTGTATTCTTTCCTTTGAACATTAAAAAATCGCTTATATTGGCACTATTTGTACAGTTAATTCATCAATTCTAAGGGATGCATCTTTATCACAACAAACAAGGACCATTTTTTTCACGTTCTTACAAGGCAAATTATACAAAGTTGCCTATTCCAACATTAACCTAGGGTGCGAGTATTGATGGCTAATATATGTTAATCGTGCACTATCCTAAACATGATTCGTATTCGACCAACTTTAAAATTTTATGCACGCCTAAATATTTAAAAACATCTTAAATAATATTTCATCAAGTCTGTCATTCCCACTTTATCTCAAAATATTAGTAATCTTAATTCCTAGTGCCCTCGTTTTCTTTATAATTTAGATTTAAATACAATGAGTGGAATGTACGTTGAGCTATAAAAGCGGCATCTGCATTGGAAGATATCCTCTCAGATTTCACTAATCTGTCCATTGTTCCTAATGCACCGAGTTAAGAGGTTTATGAACTCAAATAGAGGTTAACTGAGCCATGGAAGTAGTATATTTTTATGGCATTCCTATTCGTACTTCGTTGGTTAGTGATATAGTTAAATTAGAGCGTTGCATGGGACTGAACACTTTGATTGAATATATAGACAATAATCTTTCAAAGCTTCTTTGACCTTCTAATATTCCTATATTCCTATAAAGCAGGATAACAAAATAGTTATATCTAATCTTCACATTACATGGCTATTTTAATGTTACTGATATCAAGACATCAAAATTACCAGAGATATATGTGTATAACAACTTCAATTTAATTAATTACAGCTTCATGATGATAAAAGGAGTAATTAGCTCGAGTACCTCTCATGTGGCCGTCTGACCCCAAAGTAGCAGAACCTGTACTATAGTCACCAGACTGCTGATAAAAATGATATATATTTTACTAAATACGTATAAATTTTACATAAATTATACGCTCAGGCACAGAACGAATGATTATGCTCATCACACAATTATTTGTTCAGGGTGGGATTGGAAATCATGACCTCTGACTCAACGTCGTGGACAACTAATGAACAATAAGAAAATACAATTTGTCTCGCTTTACCGTAACACTACAATTGGTAGCCCTTACCTAACATTTATATGGTACGTTAGTTTTTTAGAGTAAAATACTAAATATTAATGACTAATTTTGATCGCGGGTTTATTCGCAAACGGGTTTTTTTTATTTATTCTTTCAAGTACTTTTAGTACTTGAAAGAATAAGTAGTAGTAATACAGTGAAAAATCAACAAACACTCAATATATTTACAATATCTATTATCTAGGATTTAATAAAATGTATATGTTATTACATTAGTCCGAGTACAGATAGTTCATGAGGTTAGTTAAACAAAGTGATTGTAATGCAAACATATATTAAAGTATTTATAATATATATTAATATGATATAATAATTTTGATTGAGATTGACTCGATAAAGTGAATGAAATATGCGACAATAATTAAAAAAAAAACTTATCTTATCTTAATTTTTTCTTTTTATCAATAAAGAATATTATATTCAAACAATATTTTCATGAAACTTGGTCTGAATGCTTGTTAGAGATTAATATTTGATATTTACAATCAAAATAAATATCCAAAATGTTTTTTTTATATTTTCATATCATTTCATTTATTCATATCAGGTCTTCAGGTCCGATCTCAGGTCCTTATCCTTGTTGTAGTTGTATGTAGTTATGGGTAATAATTTGCTAACTAAAGTTTGGTCACATAACTGCACAAGACTACACGGATGGCGTAGTGGTTTAAGCTGTCGCCATTTCTACTACGCTGAGTGCTGTGGTTTCGATCCCCACATGGGACGACCCTTTTTGTGATCCACAAATTATTTTTTTGGGTCTGGGTGTTCTTTGTGAGTTTATAGCCATCAAACTCTAAATCAAACAATCTTATTTGAGTGGGCCTTATTACATTTCCCTTTTAAATGTCAATGGGCTAAAAATAATAAAATAAATAATAAAAACAATACACGAGAAGAACAGGAACGAGATAGCCCTAATGACCTAAGTAAAGAGTCTTAAGAATCATATAAATACATTTATTTAAAGGCCTTACAGAGACCAGTCTATCGTCTCCAGACAAGCTTAAAACTAAAGCTATTCAAATTCGTAAGGGTCACATTGAAAAACCAAAACCTGAAAGGTAATGAAGATCCCACAAAACCCGGTGGAACCAGCCGGATCGATCAATGGAATTCATGCCATTCAGCCCCGGGTCTACGATTTTTTCGAACCGGGGCAGAAACTTAAAAATAGAGCTCCCTCTCCATAGTTTGAGGTAAATAACTTAAAAAAAACTTACAAATATATTAAATATATTGTTTTCCTTTTTATTTAAACCCGTGTTATATTATGAGTTGCCCCGGTTTGCCCCCTTCCTCCCTTTAGGTCTGGGGCTGAAACCATTGTCTACCTATCAATAGAGAATCTGAGCAATAAACATAGGAAGTAAATGAAAGGTGAAAGGTAAAAATAAAGGCAAGGCGAACTGAAGGTCATCTGGAGAAAAATGTGTATTTTTAATTGGTTTTTGACCATATGAAAATACTTTAAAATCCTTTAAACTGTAATTTTAAAAATATTACTGAATACAATAGGCTGGACTACCTCATAGGTATATTGTTTTCCTGGTACAACAAATGCATAGTAATGCATTTTGCAACTCACTAAGTTGTTCATTTCTATTTTAAATCATAAATATATGCTAAAAATAGAATATCGTGTGTGCTAGAACTTTTAATGGATATTGGATTATTTATTACCTTTTATTTTTGTCTATTGAAATGCACACATACGTCGTAAATATAAACATAAAAAGTGATTCACGTGTTCATAACTCAGTTGCCTCAGTTTCGTTACCAATTTTGAGAACAAGTGTCATTTTTAATGGTATATAACTATGAAATTAGTGTGTAAATAAAATCTTCAGTATTCGATTATACTATTCTAAATATGTATCTAGAAGTTAAACAAATATACAGAACAATATACAGATACCGGTGTGATTAATGGTACACGATCTCATTGTATAATTTTAAAAGTGATATTTAAGTGTCGCTTAGAGGTCGAGCTGCGTAGAAGTGCCCAAGGCTCTCAGCCGCGAGTCGTCGACCTGCCGTCACCTTGCTCGCGCCAACTTACGCAATTCGTTAATCTTATCATCTGCATGCGCGCCCACACAACCTCGATCACGCCCCTCTCATCCCTCGCCAAATTTTAACCGCATCGATAGATAAACCATTTCGAATTTTGACGACAATTTTTGGAATCAACCTTCCAATCCCTAGTAAAGATTCGGTTTAACTTGTTGTAACAATAATGTTCCCAATAACCACAAATATTTTAGCTTAGACATGAAAATTTTTGGACCTCTTTTTTTAAGTAACAATTTTAAACAAAAATAATTATGGAAAACCTGTTGAAATAGCATATAGCTCAAATACTGATAATTCGACTTAGCGCATTCAATAATTTAAAGGATTCAAAAAATAAAAGTGGTCTACGAATAAGTGCTACAAAATTCGTAGCGCACCGATCGGAAAAGCGTTGGAGAGAGGAGCGCTCGCGCCGTATCGCCGCCGGTGGGACGAACCTGCACGCGCGCTACCCCGCCCGCGTATTTATTCGCAAGATTATGCCAGCGCCGGCCAGTGCGCAAACAACAGTCGCACGCGATATACAATCTACTCGTTCCCGTACCAACGTTAGTTACGTTTCGCGCACTAATGATATATTTCGTTTGCAACTAAAATAAAAATATATTCATTAAATATTTCTTATTTTTAAAAGACTTTAAAAATGATAACAATGTTTTCAAATTCGAAATTACTGTGGGCGCTATCTGAAGTGGTGAACTACTGTGCGTCGCGGACATCACTACCGCTGTTGGCGGTGGCGGGTATAGCGATGTTGGTGTTGATATTGGCTTCGTATATACGAGAAACCCGCCAGCTGCCTCCTGGACCGTGGAGTCCACCCATCGTTGGCTACCTGCCGTTCCTTGGAGTACGTCACAAGACTTTCTTAGAACTAGCACGTCAATACGGCACTCTGTTCTCCGCGAGACTAGGCAATCAGTTGACGATTGTAGTTAGCGACTACAAACTTATCAGGGAAGCTTTTCGGAGAGAAGAATTTACCGGGCGTCCCAGTACTCCTTTAATGCATACCTTGGATGGTCTTGGTAAGTAAAATAAGTTCATTAACAGATAGGAAACATTATTTTTTAAATGATAACCTTATGATTTCAATTTATTTAACATTAAAAATCATTACCTCTTAGTTTTATTAAAAGTAGGTTAATTTTTTTTAATAAAAACTAAAAGTTGAGACAATCAATGTCAAAAAGTTTTTACGAGCCGGCAAATGCAGTAGAGAGCACATGTGCTTGTGGGCGTCATTGGTCAGTTGTCCCTCCCGGTGTGCGCTTGCACCGCCCACATACGTTGAGCTATCTCTATAGCGCCTCCTTCTCTGCAGGTATCATCAACAGCGAGGGCCGCCTCTGGAAGAGTCAGCGCCGTTTCTTGCACGATAAATTGCGAGAATTCGGCATGACTTACATGGGCAATGGCAAGAAAATCATGGAACGCAGAATTAAGGTTAGTTATCATTTATGTCCCTGTCAACAGCTTCTAGTTTTTTGAATTTAAAGTAAAATAACGTTCAATAAAAAATATTTTTGTCACCAGAATGAAGTATATGATCTCATTGAGAATCTACACCGTGCTGAGGGTGCTCCTATCGATGCAAACCCCCTCCTCGCCCTGAGTGTATCAAACGTAATTTGTGGGATTACAATGTCAGTGCGCTTCAGCCATGGTGACATTCGTTTTGAACGGCTCAATAATTTGATTGAAGAGGGAATGCGGCTCTTTGGCGAAGTACACTACGGAGAATACATTCCACTGTACAATGTAAGTATCAATCTTCACTATTACCATAATTACAGCTGAAATGAATTTAATTCAGGGATTTCCATCTTCTTCACTATTGTCAGTTTTCATCAGATGAGATAGAAAATAAACGCCTATTCCAAGTTATGAATAAAAAAAAACAAAAAAAATATTGTTGCTCCACAGTATCTCCCCGGAAAAGCGGAAGCTCAGGAAAAAGTAGCTAAGAATCGCGAAGAAATGTTTGCATTCTACCAAACTTTGATAGATGAACATCGTGAAACTCTTGATGTCGATAAAGTGAGAGATCTTATCGACGTCTATCTTGTCGAAATTGAAAAAGCCGAGGCTGAAGGCAGAGCAGAAGAACTCTTCGAGGGAAGGGATCATGGTATGTTTCTTTATTATTACCATGTTATTCAAATTTCTAATCAAAAAAAAAATAACTGACAAAAAAATACTTTAAGATTTGAAATTTTTTACAGCATTGCAGTTAAAGCAAATTCTTGGTGATCTCTTCTCTGCCGGTATGGAAACGATCAAATCGTCTTTGTTATGGATGATTGTCTTCATGTTGAGGAACCCTGACATTAAGAGACGCGTCCAAGAAGAACTCGATGTCGTCGTTGGTCGCGAACGGTTACCTACAATCGAAGACATGATTAATTTACCCTACACAGAAACCACAATACTGGAAACGCTCCGCATGTCAAATATTGTTCCACTTGCAACCACCCATTCGCCTACAAAGTAAGTTTTTACAATCATTAAAAGATTTCCATAAGATTTTAATATAAGAAATATATTTGTTAAATACTAATATACTTTTCTTTTTCTATAGAGATGTTCACCTTAATGGCTACAGAATCCCTGCAGGATCTCAAGTTGTGCCTCTTATCAACTGTGTGCACATGGACCCCAATCTGTGGGAGGAGCCCAACAAGTTTAATCCAAGCCGTTTTATCGACGACACGGGCAAGATCAGACGTCCAGAATTTTTCATGCCTTTTGGTGTAGGTCGTCGCATGTGCTTGGGCGATGTCCTGGCCCGCATGGAGATGTTTATGTTCTTTTCATGTATAATGCACCAGTTCGATATACAACTAGAGGCTGGTGACGCACTTCCTTCACTGGAGGGCACAGTGGGCGCCACGATCGCCCCACACGCCTTCCGCGTGAAGTTCCAGCCGCGATCACCACCCGTGCCTGCCCCATTTGGAACCGACCATTTACACTTACGTCACGTTGGTGCGCACTGATTGCTGCCGTATACCACTCTCATTGCCCAGACACCCACCAGTATTCATTGATCACTCGTTTTAGAGCGCATCGACAACCATTTATTTAAGGCTTTTATTATTTAAGGAACTACGTCGCTCCGTCGATAGTTAAGGCTGTGCATAAAGTGTTCAATTAAATAGTGAATCCATTGTTAGTTGTATAATGTTCCCATCGTTGAGATTATTAAACGACATTTGTGTGAATTTTGCAGTATTAGAATGTTGGTAGACCGATTACAAACCACGATAGCAAATCACACCATAGCACATTCTAGTTTTTAAGACATATTTTAAGTTCTAGTACCTATACCAAAATAAATGTAAGATTTTAGGTCAATATTTATTAATGTCAATTGCGAGAATGTTGTGTGTGATTTCGTGATTGTTGTGTTTTAATGCAGTTATAGTATTAAGTCTGCAATTGTTTATATATATATGTGTGTGTAGTAATGTCATAAGTACCTACAGGGAGTTTGAAGAAACATTCCATGGTAGTGTAACAACCAGGAACTAGTCTAGAGCGATGCTATCGCTATATGTAACGCCTACTTTTAGTTTTAGACCAATATTCATTATATTTGCAAACCGAGTTCCTCGGTACTAAATTGCAGTTAAATTAGTCTGCTAGCTTGCAGCACACCGTTTTATCTGTAAAATAAGCTTTGTAAATAACGCAATACTTCAAAAGTGAATGTAAATTTAAGTAAATAAAAAAAATGATTTTAACATTCCGTTTTATTACCACCGCCTATTCCTTAGTAATAAGAAAAAGTATAAACCACTGATTATTACAAAACTACGTCGTATTTATAACAAACATGATATTTGTGCCTCAAGCTAAAAATATGTATTCAGTTCTTTTAAAAGAAAACCAAGAAGAGGCTCTCAATAAATAATTAGTCAAATAGTTTTTCTTGAGTGAGATAATCCATTCTGAGAATAGAATACATTATAATAAAAATTCGTATTGCTTACAAAACGCAGTTTGTTGAACTTTTGGTATTTCGTAACTAATGTATTTAAATGATTTAAACTGGTATGCTAGCATGCAAAGGTGCAGTTGCGTGAACATAAATACTATTAAGTTATGTTAGAGGTGAATGACCCATTGACAAGCTGCGTCCCAGAGTAGGTACAGAAACTTAACTACTATTGGGGGTACCTATCGACAGCGCAACATTACTCACGGCCTTTCCCATTAGTCATAGCGAAGTCATTAGAGGTGATAAGCCTTTGTTTCTTTATTTATATTAAAAAATTAATTTAAGTAGAGCAAAATTAAGACTAAGTAAAAAAGTATGTTTACATTAACGTAGCACGTGGTCAATGCTCTTTAGACTCATATTACAGTAGCCGTCACGGTTTTCGAATAGAAACACCATTATGCTTTTATTTAAAGAAAATATACTAGAGCAAAACTCAAATATTTTTAGTTTGCTATTGCACATAATACTCTCATCTTCCGGTCGATCTCGAGGTGCAGAGACGTGCAGCCATGTACTATTCAAGACAAAACATGGAATGCGATTTTTTGGGCGCGCGGGATCGCGGTAAAAATACAAGATTGCTTCAACAGCAGTCCGATGTCGATAATGACCTCATAGACGAATGGCAACAACGCTGGGATGAATCATCCAAGGGGCGCCATCTTTACCAATTCTTTCCATCTGTTCGCGAACGGTTGTCGAGGACATGGCTTGAGGTGGATCACTGTGTCGCTCAATTTCTTACGGGTCATGTTAACTTTAAGACCAAGCTTTATTCATTTAAATTAGTCGAGTCACCATTGTGTCAATGCTCAACACCTAACTCTCACTATGAACAGTCTGCTCATCATATCCTCTGGGAATGTAGTCTTTGGTATAATGAACGTAATATAATGCTGAATAGCTTGCAGGTGACATCTGGGGCGGTATACTATGGGGATCTTGTGTCAACTAGGGTGAATTTCCGTGCGTTTAGGCGATTCTGCCATACATATTATAGAAATCAAATATAGCTCACGTAGGACCCGTAATATTTTGTGGCCGTGCTGCTTCCCTGTTTAAAAGGGTGTATGCCCATTTTACTTCATTTTGTCTCCCGCTTTGCTAAGGAGGGAAGTGGATTTACTGTATTTCCAACTCCTCCAATTTTCTTCTGATTAATTTCGTTGCGGGTTCCAAGACAGTTTAATTTCTTCCTGGGACTTCCCGAGTGTCATAACTCGGTGTGTTTGTGGGTCACTGCTGTGGATCCTGGTGTACAGGAGTTACAGTGGTGGGCGTGTGGGTGGGATTAGTTCCAATGAAAAAAAAAAACTCTCATCTTTTGTTACTTGTGTCCTTTTGTAAACCAATTAAATACACTTGTCGATCGTAACGCCTACTAAGATTATTATAAAATGTGTCGATTAAACTTTATTACAAGATTATTATATTAGGCCAGAAGTTAATACTTTTTTTTTGCAAAAAGGTATTTATTTAATTGACACAGATGGCGTAGTGGTTTACCACGCCGCTTTCTACTGCGCTGAGTGTTGTGGGTTCGATCCCCACACGGGACGACACTTTGTGTGATCCACAAATTGTTATTCTGAGTTTAAGTGTTCTTAGTGCCCGTTTCTGATATGTCTATAAAGTCTTTGCGACACAGGATATATGCCTAGTGAGGGTGGTGTCTTTAAAAAAATAAATGAGTCCATATAAAATATCAAAAGCAGTCAAAAAAATCTATTTATTCATAACCTGTAAATTACGCAATTTGTTGTACAGTAGACCATAATCGAAAAAGATATTGAAGGATCTTTTTTAGAACAACAATTCGAAGCTACCTATATAACGCCCATTTTTTGAAAATATGTTTCTAACTTGTAAGTTGTCAAATCAGATCAAGTCTATGGCGTTGATGAAAGAAAATGTCACGAATTTAGCCAAAATTTCATTTATAATTTGAACTAAACCAAAGACATTTTAGAAGTGTTAGTTTATAGATCCATTAATTTTAGTTTTGAAAAAACAATGAGCCCTCAATTTTTGAATAAAAAAGGTAGAGGTCGATAACAATCTTTGACAAAAAATTGACAGCTCTGCTATCGGATCAACATCCGGTGATCATTTTTTTGTTTTTGTGTGCTCTTTAATATTTATAAGCATTCGTTAAACATTCGTTAGAGATTTTTCAAATTAATGTTTCTAGTTGTGCTTTCAGCAGCTCAATAAAATGCAGTAGCTAAATATGTCTATAGAGATTTGACAAGGGATGAATTTATTTTTACAAAAATACATCCTTTTAGAAATCGGATCTTTCTGAAAAATATTGTAGTTTGTGATTGATTGACTTTTGCGGCATTATGTTTATTTTAAACATAAATACATCTAACTAAAAAGTACATCTAACGAAAAAGTAAATATTAAAAGGCTGTGTGCAAATACCAGTTTACTTTTAAAACAGTGCGGAGTACGGTTGGTATTGCTGTTCTCCGTGGCAATACTGTCAGCTTTCTGTAATCGTTACTACACGGTGATTGCAATGCGAGGTATTTCCATACCGCCATGCTTTAATAGATTACTTCACATTTAGTTGAGATATTGTACATATTTAAATATTTATCATTATAATATATTTATACAATCTGTCCTCCTCTGGAACGCTCTATCTCTCGAAATCAAGATAGCACCCAGACGCCTCTCATTTAAGACGAAAGTCCGAACTCGAATTCTGGACACTAGCAGATTCATCACATCCCTAAAGTTTTATATATTGTATTATATGTATCTATGTAACTCAGCAAGTATATATGTATTTGTATCTCAGTATGTATGTATATCTGTCACACTATTTCTGTCCATCTCCTTAATAACCATTGAAAAAACAAACAATACAAAAAACTTAATTTCCAGTGCATCTGCTTAGACATTTCCCCACCACCCAAAGGTAGACTGGGAGAAAATGCCTCCGCCATTGTACAATCAATTATTATTTCTGCAAAAAGAATTAAATAAATCAAATAAATAAAGTTAGTGAAGTCACAGAGTATATAAGGTTCAAGCGCTGTTTTGTATTATTTTAAATTAAATTAACAACAGACATGGATTATAATTATTGTAAAACCACAACGATATCTATGTTTATACCATAAATACGAGTAATCATAGTTTCGTGACTACGAATCCGTTTACTACCATGTGAAGTTATGCACGTGTATAATGTATGTCGTCGGCAAAGGCCCTACAGGAAGAAAGGCGATAGGACATGTTACAACGCACGTAGGAAGGATATGGCGCGAACGGCATGCATACACCTTTTCATATAAGCATTTACTGTTAGACAGCACAAACAACTGTGACACACGTGTAAAGCGTGAAATTATTTCCGTATTTAATTAAAATATATATATCCAACCTTAATGAGCCTACATCATAACATAATATAATGTATTCTTCATAATATAATGTGTTCTCAATGTTCACTTTTAGAAGTGGATTTTTTTCTTAAAATTTTAATGGAACCATACGGAAATTGCACCATCCGACTTTTTTACAAAGATATACATCGGAAAATAATAGAACATACAATTAACATAAAACATAGAATTAGAAACATCAGTTCAATTTTTAATTTTCTACAATAATTGTTCAAATTACCTCTCTACAACTTAATTTTCTTTTTCATGTTCTTTTTTAATAGATAACTTGTGCCTGCAAATAATTAAAATAGTCGAGGAAACATTGTTTTGCAATAACAGTAGTTATATATTCCTTAACCACTAAAATACTCCTGACTGTTTTTAGGGTACCGTACCTCAAAAGGTAAAAAAGGAACCGTAATAAGATCACTTTCTTGTCCGTCTGTCAGTCTGTCTGTCCCTATTAGGTGTATAAAAATCAAGGTCCTGAGTCAACACGACGAAAAAGATATAGGCAAATTTCGATTTTCGCGAAAACTTGTCAGTACCAAAATTTACCTTAATTTTCAATCTTTTTATTTATCAGAATTTTCTCTTACTTGTGCTGTAAGACCTCACTTTTAACCAAAATTGACAATTCTAGGTCAATCGGAAGAACCCTATAGGTTTTGGGTCGAAAACCTATATGGTAGTTCCCGTTGACCTAGAATCACGAAATTTGCCAAAAAGAAACGTCTTACAGCACAAATACTCGTAATTCCAAAAAATTTAAAAAGTTAAAAATTAAGGTAAATTTTGGTACTTACAAGTATTCGCGAAAATCTACGTAAAATCTGGGTAGGTACGGAACTCTCGGCGCACGAGTTCGACTCGTACCTGACCGGTTTTTTTGTTACAGCAAGTGTGAATTGATGAATTGTCTACTAAAGTCTTATTAGTGTCAAGTTAAATTCTGGATCGGGGTAGTCTCTTAAGAGGTTTCTAAAAAAAGATTGTTGTCCAAAGTAAACAGCATTTATTATTAGTAAACTGCATCTGAAAAGAAATACTAAATTTCTCTTTTATTTTCAATTCTATAAGTAACATTGCACTGAAAGCTTAAAGATGGAGATTCCGTTTTATAGGATCTGAAGAGAGTCGCAATAAAAGTCCACTCGAGGAGGCGCAAGTGTGACTCCAACGACGCCTTGCATTTGTACAGATGTAGGTGGGTCGGAGGCCAGTCGAACGCGCTTACGACGGAACAGTCGTGCTACTAGACCGCACGACAGCATTCGAGATAACTCGTCGCCGGGGCACATCCTTTTTCCTAGAACAATAATAGTAGTAGTAGTATGTAATGGGCAAGCTTGTCTCAATGCTCTACCATATATTATCAGAGCGGCATTAACGAAGATGGAACCTTTGACCCCGAAATCATGGAAGAACTTGAGACAAATGTCGTTGAAGACGATAATGAAGACCAGTTTGAAATTTACCAGCAGCCAGAAGACGACGATGGAGTGGAAGAAGATGATTAAAATTATAAATTGTAGTTTTTGTAACCTTTATTCCATTTTTTTACTTTCAATAAAAATAAATGTATTCAATGATATTTTTAAATAAAAAGATTAATTCATAATTTATTTGTTTTTTTTTTCATCATTTAAGAAGTTATTAATATTAATTAGGTTAAAATTCAAATATAATTCCTATATTTTCATTAACAATTCTGCAATTACATGGGCAGGTAAGTGTTGTTAAATAAATTAATACTGAATAAAAAGTGGATAAGTTAGGAAAAAAATTATAAAATATAAAATAATAGTTAATAAAAATTGACAAATATTTATAATCATTGATTTATCGATAGTTCATAAACTATATATGGCGCGTTTTCGACCTGAGGCACCGGTTGACCTGAAGTGATGCTGTGACCGCGCGCTCTCCGCCCTCTATCTCGAAAACGGTTCACCGTATAAAATTTTTTTAAACAAAATTTGTAGAGAATTTTGTATTCTACAATATTGATAATGAATACAAATAGCAGAAACCCATAGGAAATGAGATATTTACAAAAAAAGCGCAATAAACCGATTTTTGTGACTTTTGACCTTGAAATTTAATAGTTGCTTACATCCTACCATATGTAGGTTTTGAGACAACTTTTAGGGTGTCAATATACAAGTATTTACAGACTTACATCTGGGTATCTCGAATTCCGAGATTCTTACCTAATTTAAGCTTAAATGACTGGACTATAGTTACTTATATAGTTAGTGTGTGTATGGCTTACGCTTTCTACCTGTTTATGAACTTGTATTGGTGCAACGTCGAATGAAGATGATATGTTAAAAAAAAAGGCACAAAAACATCACCCTAGCGTTCTCTTCCTTGTTTTTAAGAATTGGAGGTGTGTTGTAAAAGAGTATTGCATTGAATTTTACATCTAGTAATTCAGAATTTCATTAGTTGATAAACCCACTCAAGCAAGCACTTAAGTGCTACTGCGTGTATGTGTGTGACTGTTTGCGGATCATTCTAGTCGTTAAGACTTCAGTGAGTCTAACAAATCAAAAAACGGAAACCAGAAGGGTAGTAGACCCTTCAGTAAACCCAAAGGGCTTCTGGTTTCCGTTTTTTGATTTATTAGATCCACTTTCAGTTAAATTATAATTTTGTTAAGATATTTCCCATAATGAACTAACTAAAATTGAATTTTGTATAACCAAACAAAATCAGTGTCGTTTGGTAATATTCTGACCCGAGTGCCGGTAACTCCACTCAAAGACTAAAAACATAAACCGTGGTCTTCTGTATCATGAAACCACTCCCGCATTGGATTTTAGCCTGCCCTTTCCCGGCCCATTTTTGTCTGGTCCTTTAAAGTTTAATCACTCGTTTCACAGGTGTGTTATCGTTGGTGATGACTAATATATTTATAAAATATAAAAGCCAATAATCATATTCAAGCAAACTTGAAACTTTCCTGGTGGGTATTTATTGCCACTATTTATGAAAGAGAATGTTACCGAGTGACAACATTCTCCGAAAGCAATTTATCCGTATTTTTATTTTTAGTACTTTTATCCATTCTAGGAAATAACTCCAGTCGCTTATTCCGAACTAGTTTGCAGTAAACCACATGTTTTTCCTTTCAATAGCTCCACCCTTACTTTTGATTTCTCCATGCTAACCATTTTTATGTTATTATAAGAGCTATAGCCAATAAATTAAGCGAAATACCATGATTATTAAATTCGGGGTGAACAGTGGCTTGTTTCCGTATATTATATAGTGTGTATAATATGTACAACAATATACATATGGTATGGTATCTTCGTATTTTATTTCGGACTCCAATGCGAACCCCTAATATAAATTGCTTTCATTATACCTAAATCTAAAGATCTGATAGAGAAATTAACAGAAGAAGTATTGGTAACTAACACAAACACTCTGCTTGAATATGTACTTTTTTTACAAACAAAAGTAGATAAATAAAGTAAAGGGCAAATTTTATTAACTTTATTTTACTTATGTTGCAGATTGAAGATAGATCCAAATTATTTAGAAAGCTTAGTTTATAAGCCTAGTTGGTCTTGTAACTTATTGAAATCGTTTGTATCTAGAATTTTCTGTTTCATTGTTTGACGGAACTAAGTCGGAGTCACAAAAAACTAAATACCAAATCCTGAACAGATTACTGTTTTTCACGATCAGCACAAAAGGTTTACAGCTTATCAAATTCGTGAGATGTATATATATGGTAATAAACACCGGTCATTATACGAAAATTGATCAAGCAAGGAATATAAACATTAGTAATATTCTTTATTTCATTAATTTATGGTAAACATAAAATTAATTTACACTACGCAATTATTGTAAGATTAGTAATTAAGTATTCGTTTATTACTCATGTTGACCATAATAGGTAAATTATTAAACTAACTATTTAACTATGACCATAGGGTAATAATAAATATTATTAAACTACTATGTTTTTTTCTTCTGTCTCCACGATTTTGTCAGTTTAGGAATTGCTGTGCAAAACAAATAAGTACTATGTCTAAAGAAGAAAGTCTTCAATTAGTACGTCTTACCCGTCATGACATACGGAACAGAAACGTAGACACTTACGGTACGGCTGGTTCAAAAACTTAAAGTCGCTCAGCCTCCTATGGAAAGGGCTATGCTCTAAGGGATCGCATCAGGAATGAGGTGATCTGACAGACAGCCAAGATCATCGACATAGCCCACCGGATTAGCAAAACTGAATAGGTAGTGGTCTGGTCATATTCCTTCTGGTCCCCAGAACAGACGACTATTGGATTAAACAAGTTCTTGAGTGGAGACCGCGTCTAGGCAAAAGTAGTGTAGGCCCATAGGCGAGGTGGAGTCACGATTTGCGCAAGGTGGCTGGCAGGAGCTAGATGTTAAAAACCAAATATCGATAAAAGTGGTGGGCAATGTAAGAGGCCTATGCCCAGCAGTGGACAGCGTTAGGCTGATGATGGTGCAAAATAAAAATAAAAAATATTTTGCCCTAATACTTTACACTTAAAAGAAAATCGTTCCTATGATTCTTTTAATTAAAGCAGAGTAAAAAAAGAGCTCAATAAATTAGGCACATAAACTAAAATTGGTATTTTTCGTGGCATGTGGTAAAAAGTAAAATTGTAATTTTTATGATTAGAGAGACTAGTAGATTCCAGTTTTTAGGGAAAATATTAGCTTCCGCTTCTATCCACGCTGTAAGAAAGTCGGTTATATGAAAAAAAAAGAAATGAGGAAGAACTGAAACAATTTCATCTGAACTGAAACAATTTTGATAGGCTGTCACGTCTAATATTTACTACCTAGTGCGGGGGTTAATAGACACTATGCATTTCTTAACATCACAATGGAAAAATTAAAATTAATAAAAGAATGATAATTCGAAGTAATCAAAGTAGAAAGATGTGAATAATAGAAACACAAAGAAATGTAAAATTAAGTTTAAACACTATTGGTGTTGTAATGTACTTTACAATAGATAAAATTATTAACATATTATCAGTATATTATGGTGGTACATTAGTAGTAAGGTGGCTAAAGTGATGAACAAATAAATCTTACCAGTTTGAAACGGTATAAATTCTTGAGGTTTTAGCAGCGAACCGTCTGGAGCAAGAAATCTGCTTGGCCGAAATTCATTAGGGTCCTCCCAAACGTTGGGGTCCATGTGCAGTGCCCACTGCAATGGTATTACCATTGCACCTTTCGGAATCCTGTAATCTCCAAGGTATGTGTCCTATAAAAATTAAAAATAAATTTTACTTTGTTGCTCATAATATTTACGATTGTTTTTAATTCTCACAGTAAATAAATTGTACTGGGTCGGTATAAAAAATTTGGCTCGTTCCATATTTGTCGCGTTATTTATGCCCTGTTTGTCTCAAAACTCAATGTTCACATAACTTTATAATTCTATTCCATTTTTGATTCGATTTAAATTCTGTCTTTGTTGCATGTTGTTTATTGTTTTACAGATAAGTTAGATAATATCATCACAAGCCTAATCATCACATGTAGAGTGTAATGAACACGCTGTAAGGTTAATTTATAGAACAAGACGCCAATTCGTTAGGACTTACTTAATGTGGCATTTGTTATTTATATCCAATTGTTTAATACAAAAAATAGAATACGAAAGCTAGAGCTAGCTAGCATGTAACTAGCCAGACCAGGGCAGGCCAGACCAGGGCAAATCATAGTACAAAACATTCTTGAACACAGATGTGTTCAAGAATGCTATTAGTATATAAAGTTTATAGCTTTGGTTTAATGTGCCAATCTTTGAATAATAACATAGTTTTAAAAATATTTATATTTAAGTCAGAACATAAACGCATGTGAAACTATGGGGAAAGACTTCTTTTTAATATTTTTTTATTTATATTTTAGTTTAAAAGTTATTTAGCATATACGTAATAAATATACCTTCTAATCAAATGGAATTAACGATAACGATTATTTCATACTGATAGACTGATAACATTTTAACTCTTCTATCCTTGTATTCTTGTCATTGTGAATTCAAATTATTTATTCAAATTATTAATTATTTATTTTAAAGGGGTAGTATACTGGGTCTACCAATAGGGATGACCTGGTTTTGACAGCTCATAGCGGCCATGTTTGATGATAGATCTTTGACGTCTCTTGACATTTGTGTTCAGTAAGGTTTGCCATTTTATCATGTCACGTTTCACTTTAAACCAACGCTTGGAAATTGTCCAAAATTATTACGCAAATTCGCGTTCTCCCACCGCTACAGTAAGAGCGCTTCGCGCAAAAAACGGTCGTCATAGCGCTCCTTCTGTGCGCGCTATAAATCGCATAATAACAAAATTTGAAAGTGAATTATGGTGGTATTACAGGTTTAACATAATGCGAACAGGCCCATAGGCATGAAAATAGCATGTAAATTTAACATGTTACTAAAATAACTTATGTATTAAATATATTATTATTAATGTCATTTTTCATCGGTTTTTATGCATTGATTATGATTTAGCTTTTATTCCTTATACCTACTACTCTCCACTATTCAAAAAGTCTTTAACCGAATAAAATGTATTAGTAATTAACCAATCTTTCATTGATGAGAAGGACTTGTTAAGCGTGAAATATTTTAAAATGATCGCAATCACGAAAAACACCACTTCGAATCTTTTAGATTTTATTCGGGTAATAGTGTATTTTTTCAGCAGTGCTAAAATAAATAACAGCATATAATTATAAAATTTACGTACATGCTTCCTTGCTGAAACATTTATTTATTTATTTGCAAATAATTGTCAAAAGGCAAACCTTTTGTTCCATAAAATAAAATGCAAGTACGAAATTAATTATTAATTAAATATACATTGAGCACATACGAGTATTACATATCACTCTACTATAGTGTTTAACACTGATAAACATACTGTATACATAGAAACACAAAATAGGCTGATTTTTTAAAATGTTTTTCGTCATTCACTGTATTCAAAACTATCTTGTTTTTTTTTCATTTTCATATGTATGTTCTCCTTTAAAATTCAATAACGTTTGCATTGATTTCATATAACCTGAAAATGGTACCTTCTTCCTATTTGTACACGTACGTTCCCCTCTGGGAATTACCTGTGGGTAATTCAAAACATGGCACTTTAATGTTTTATGCTATTACTAACCTCCACACAACCATGGGGAATTCCCACTGGAACTATAGATCGAATACGTTGTGTTTCGCATATGGCAGCCATTAGTTGAGGTAGTCTGGAACTGTCTACCTCATCTTCATTTGGATATACAGACAAGATCTCTTTACGTATAAGTTCCTGTAAGAAATTTTATAATTAGAGAACCTATTTTTGTTTTCGTAAATCATATCTATGTATATATGATTAAATTCAAGATAGGAAAACATAAGGTCTCTTATTATTTATTACTATTTCTATAATACTATTAGTATTCTATTACTTAAGGGGTACTATTAATAAAGCTAGAGAGTTTTTGTCATTTTTTTTAAACCCGTAATCTCTGGAACTATTAGTCCAATAGCAATTAATCTTTTGGTATTGGAAGACGTATTTATTGAAAATAAAAATGACTAACAGATTTTCCACTTTTAGAAGCGGAGCAGTGACCATAAGTACAGGCGAAACTGCGGGGAATGGCCAGTGGATTAGTAAATGGTAATTATTTATCTATCTTACAAACAAACAATTAATTTCTGGTCACTAAAATATATTACATAAAATATATTTTGCTTACTGCATTCACTTTTATAAAACTATAGTTTCAGTTAATAAGTTTGATTATTTGTATTATTACAGTAAAAGGCATAAAACACATTTTCGAAAGTTAAGTTTTGGTCATTCTAGCTGGAATTACAAATAATGAGGTATTTTTAATATTGGCTTCTATTTCATTTTGCAAATTCCTGCTGTTCTAAAACTAATCTCATCTAGGTGTATCCCGAAATACGTTTAAAATTTTAAAACAGTCGTGCTGATGAACCTAAACCTATTTAACCAAAATGCATACCTGTTCTTTTGGATAAAGAGCCATATACAATAAAAACCAAGCCAATGTCACAGAAGTAGTATCCAGACCCGCCCCAAACATATCAGCCAACAGATACAGCATTTGTTCATCAGATGTATAGCGGGCTGACTCATCACCATTTTCAAACCGTTTCTTTTGTTCTATTAAGAAATTGTCTAGGATGCATTCTCCGTCAGATGGTATCAGAATACTCGGGTCAAAGTAATGTTCTTCAGTATTTGTAGCATGTTTGCTATACTTGACGCATTTAATGTGACCCTCTGGATGTTCATTGAAAAGATTGTCATGTAAAGCGTATGCCGCTCCGTCCGGTTTTACGAGTCCTAACATTTTTCGTCGTCTTTCAATAATGCTTGCATACAGCCTGTGCGTTTGAGCTTGACCACGTGTCAGTAATTCTATAGTTTTTCGAGTAGATGGAGAAATAAACCTTAAAAAAACGACATAGCGTTCAATCTAAATACAAGTATCTTGCACCTCAATTGCATTTTGATGTCTAGCTCACCTAACAAAGGGTAAGAAGTTAACGACCCCGGCAACTCCCATTTCGTGACAACCCTCCTCTTGAATTTGTCGAAACCAATGCCATGTTTTATCCTCAGGTGGAAATTTGAAACCAAATATGATTTCGTTGACGACATTTCCTAAGGAGTTAGAAAGCATATGCGACAGGTCCATAGCAGAACTACCCGCTTTTTCCACATTCTAAAAATGAAATAAAAATTAATGCAACTGTAACCATTTATCTTTTTAACCGACTTCCAAAACACAGAGGTTATCAATTCGTCTGTATTTTTTTTTTTGTATGTTAGTTACGTGATATCTCCGTCGATTGTGGACCGATTTTCTGTTTTCAAAATTAGGTATGCTCTTGAGGTGGTCCCATTACCCAAAAAACAGGATCTGATGATGTAATCCTAGAGAAATCGAGGTAATCTCTCAAATTTTACAGTCCCGACAACGTGTAAAATATTAATCTTAAAGGAATGTATTACGAAATATTCGTTATACCCTCCAGACACTTAACTGCGATCAGCGACTTTTAATATATAATAATATATCATTTATTAATTAACATATTACTTTTAACATTTCAGTCCAGTGTCATTTTTAATGTAAGACTTGGTTTAAAATATAATGATTGCAAATGGCACATTTATAATCGCGTGATTAAAAAATTTAAATGGTCGAATTTTCATCCACATTAGTGTTCATTAACTTTTGGTTGCATGCCTTGCTCTGTATGCAAAAGTTGAAGGTAGGTATTTTAGAAGTCAGTCAATGTCGTCGAAAGGCCAAATAATTTTAGCATTATGACCTATACTTAAGATAATTTGGGCAGCGAACTTAGCTAGTAAAAAATATGTAGTTCTTAAAGGTCACTAAAGATCGAAAGGTGTCCGTATATGTACACATGTCGAAACTTATTTATTTTTCATTATATCCATTCTTATCTATAAAAATATTTGGAATCAAAGGCTGCAGGCAAACTTACTACGTACTTATATTAGATTCTTATAAACTTCCTTAAGTTGGTTTAAATAAGTTCATGTTATACCATGAGTTGCTAACGTTAATCGTTATTTTTTTAATCTGATGAAATTTCAATTTTAACAAAATCTTGCAAAATTATAATTGTGTCATAATAACTTACTTCTAAAAGTTCGTACACGCCTGAAGCGATCCTTTTCTCCAACTTTTGACGCGACACGCTGTGCTTACTCATGCCAAAGCTTTTAAGCCAAGTCGTTATCAACTTTCTTTGGTCCCTCCATAGTCCTCCCTCAGCGCAAATAATACCTACAATAATACACATAAATCTAATATAAAATACATCACAAACAATTAAAAAATACCAGTCTTTAATTCAATCATAAATATTTAAACATCAACGTACCATTTCCATGCATTATACCATGAGTCAAATATAATGGAGCTCTTCCAGAAAAGCTGTCTTTAGCAAAAGCATCCCTCACTAATTTATGGTCTGATAATACTACGGCATACACTCTGCCCATTCCAACGCCATATATTGCTCCATATTCTTTAGACAATTTCGTTAGTGTCAAATGGGGTTGATGGCGATCGATAAAAGGTAAATAACCTAAGATCGGCAACCCCCACGGACCGGGCGGCAGACTCTGCCATTCCTTTAGTTTCTTAAATACCCAAAATCCGCAGACAATTGAGCAAAGAAATACAAATAAAAGGTCCATTTTGATCTAAAACAAAAGACATTGTGCGCATATTATTAAGCCACTAAAGTAGATGAGAATCTAACAAAAAGATGTCTGGAATATATTAAAATGGGACAATCTAATGTTTTGTAAAAAAGAAAAGGTAAGCCAGTCTCTTTGTCTGTTCTTTGTTTCCGCATAAGTCACGTCTTCAGAAATGTTAAGTATTGTGCAGCAGATATCTTGATATAAAAACATGCTCTGGATATGTTTTATTGCTCAAACTGGCTTTAACTGTGGAAACCTCAAGATAGAAATTCTTTGTGTGGGTCTCATAGAGTTTTGCATTCTTAAGGTATGTTATGAAAAAGAATTTATAAGTAGGTATACCATTGTTTTAGTCTTATACTTAAATAGTATTTTTTTGTGTGTAAAAATGTCAAATATAATTAAGGCACGTTTTCTTTATTTATTTTCTTTTTTAATTTATTAGAATCTGTAACACCGTTTATTACTTTGTAACAAGACGCAATGTCAAGAATTTGTAGTTAAGAAGTGCTTTGAGAATTTGGATTATTTGTGTTTATATTTTACTACTTAACTACCCAACTTTTAAATAACTAATATCCGTATCAAGGTTGTCTGGAAGAGATTGTTACGTCTATATATTTGTAATGTCTTATGTGTTAACTGTAAACAATAGGATATAAATAAATAAATAAGTTCTTTCTAACTCTGCTACCTAATTACTATTTGTCTCCACAAAACAAAGCCAAAGAGTGTAATGCATTTGAAAAAAGCTAGACAAGTATACATACTCGTAAGTGTACAGAGAGTTCCGCAAATTATAAATAGTTCAGGAATCGAGTCTCGCAGTTTTTTCTGAGCTTTTCCTGAAATTCAGCCTCCAAAACCTATAATTACTAATATTATTTTGTTTTATAAGTGACCTTGTACCTCGATAATTGATAACGTACATAAAACAATGATTTAATTAGAAATCTATTGTTTAGATTTTTCCCTGATTACTTACCAAATTTCATAGTTAGGGTCTAGGTTCAAAGGAAAGTACCCTATACATTTTGAGTCCCTTGAAAGTATTGAAACATGCGTTTTTTGCGGTACAAACGGCCGTAAGTATATTTTTCCTTTAACTTAGAAGCTTGAGTTTAACTCGATATCTACACGCGTTCCCGAGATTAAGGGTCTTGACAGATGAACAGACAGACCAACAACAAAGTGATCTTATAAGGGTTCCGTTTTTTTCTAACCTACCGGAACCCTAAAAATACTATTTTAGATATAAAATATTAGAGCTACTATTCCATCCTGAAGTAATTTGCTTGCAAAACATTTCTGCTTGTAAAACAACATCAGGTTAGAAAACGTGAGCATCATAAAATTTAAAATAAATAATATACATTTTCAGTTTTATATTCAGTTCTTTTGTTTGATTACTCCTAACTCCGTGACAAATCATCTTTAAAAGTTGTTTACGTTTCATGAACACAGGAGACAAGCATTAGTATATTACTTAAAATATTCAGTACTATGCCATAGCTAGTGTACTGCTGCTTAAAACTTAAAAGAAACATAAAATGTATCATTATAAATAACTATCAATCGATCTATTAACAGTCACATTCGGTTGTCCAGAATGAGCAATCATGCGGCGAGGCGAGCAAACGCCTCCCCGCGCTCGCTGTCTGATATACTACTGATTTGCCACATTCAGTAGGTATTGTATTGCAATAGAAGACAATGCTCAGTCAGGAGCCTCCTGCCTCGCCTCGCATAGAAATAATAAAACAATCATCACGTATACATACGTATTTCTGATTTAGTTTCTTGTTTTCCTTAAAAAACGCTATAGTAAATGACAAACAGAATTTAGTGTATGAATAATAAAGCTACATCGTGATACACTATGTCAGTAATGATTTCTTATCTAAATAATTTAATGTAACTACCAACTTATTCAAAATAAAGTAATAAGTAATAAGCTTACCCCATTAAAGTAATATTACTATTTATCTTACATTAATACAAAACCCAATCAAATTTGTACCATATAAAATAATAAATACGTTTACACTATGCTACGACTAGCAGAACAATACAAAAAATGATATTTTTGCATAACAATGTTGCACACGCTTGAAAAACATCATCGTATCTCTATCAGCTCTATGGTATCATAATCAGTGCTACCAACATGATGACAACGAAACAGTAACACTGTGACCGTGAATCACTAACGTTTTGATAATCTTGATAAGCTTTAAATATATCAACAGGACAAAGGATAAAGTACAGTTAATTATATAAAACAATGTAATACTCACATTCCGTATGGGTTAATATTATCTTGTTACAAAATACTATCATATAACGCAAAAGTGATGGCGCGCCGATTATGTGTCCTACACGCGGGACCTCCAGTCACGTCGCTGGACAATCATCAACTGTCTAAAGTCCTCCCAATAGCGGGCATATTTCAGAAAATTAAAATTCAAGATTTAAATTCAAAGTTGATCGAATTTGCTTTTTAAATTCAATTTAAAATTCATGTTTGATCTTTTCAGAGAACAATCCAGAGAATATATTCACTTAGCAGGCGTTAAGAGCGCATAAGGTTTTTGTATATAGTCCTATATAACCTAGAGTTTATATGTGAACGACTGGAACAAAATTGGTGTCAGTACTTGTTAACGCAACCAACACGCGCGATCAACGTCCGTCATCTGAATTTCGCCTAACTAGGTACACAGATCAGATCGATTTGGCAGACAACCTACGAGTATTATTGGTAGCTGGTATCCATTGACCTTCACATACATTACATAATATTGACGTTTCAACGAAATCATTTTATCTTTCGCTCAAAATCTAAAACAATACAGGATCGCTCAGCTCAGGCAGGTATTTCGATTGATTTACATAACAACGGGACTTTTCAGCTTAGCAATTGAGACGTTGGCATGGTTTTCTTACAATATTTCAGTATCTTTATACAAAATAGTTAGGTAGATTTGGGGCCATTTCATTATCAGCCTATCGCAGTCCACTGCTAAACATGGGCGCCTCCCATTGCACTCCAATTTAATCGACTTTAGCTATCCTGCTGATGAGTCCTGCGTGAGCATGAGTGAGAGGGGGGGGGAGAATTTTGCAATTTTTATATTTCTGTTTGAAATGTGAAAGCGGCCTGAAAAGTCGTCATACGTCATAGACGACGCGCGAGGTAATCGTTGGTGGCCGAATAAATTCTTCGAAATGCCTGTTGCGAAACGCTGCGATATAGCTTATCAGATCGCTATATGGTTGGAAATAGCATGATACGGTAATAAATCCAACAGTAACAATCATAATTTTAAAATATAAACAATTTTAAACAAAAAATTTAAAAGCAATTGTTTAACAAATTCTACACAAATATGCATAAAAATATAGAAAATAATAAAAATAATAAAGAAAACGCAGCTAATAATAGATACTTATAAATCTTTTTCAAAATGCTTTCAAAAATGAATATATACCTGTACATAACTTAACAATATCAAATCAAGTAACAACTACCGACAGTATTCGATGCTAACACGTCCGTCTAGCTTTGATGTCGCCGTAAAAGAGAGCTAGGACCCCTCTATGCATTCCCTCACTCTAAACAGAAAGTGACGTCACTACTAAGCCGCGCCCATTAAAAATAAGTATCTCCGGCAATCTCCGCTTATTAGATAGTTAATTAAGAAAAAAATTAGTATAAGAACTTACTGTTCAGACTAGATTTTTAGACAAATTAGACAGAACGTGTAAAATGTACCAAATTATGATTTTATGAAACTTCCTCTAACTTAAATAAATGAAAAGGTAACACAAAGCGAGGTTAAATGGTCTAGTTGTAAAATATTAACAATTAAGACCTTAAAATTAGGAATCATGTAATGATACCAAAGATTCGGACTTGACAAAGTTTGTTCTATGATAAATGCACCTTGCTGAGTGCATTGATTGCATGAGTTTTTTAAAACTGTCCTTGCCCAAGAAGACAAAGCGAATATTTTGCCTTGCTTCTGCTGCTTCTGCCTTTTCTTCCTCGTAATGCAAAGAAAATATTATTCGTTTGCTGCGCTTTTCTAGGGAAGGGCCGATTAAAAGTTCATAAGTTTTAAATTGATCTACAAACATAATTATATTAATGTATTTATTATACATAGGAGTATACTATCAATACTACAGAGACAACAAGTGACGAATCTAGTAAATATCATCTAATCTAGTATGAACTGGATTTTAACATTATAATGTAATTAAAATGTAAATGGTCAACAAAACGTAAAGCTAACGAATTATTTAATATGAAATTGTTACCCAGTTGTGAATAATATATATTTTTTGGAACAGTATTCAAAGCACACTATATTATCCTAAAAAAAATTTTGCTATCTCTAATACTTAAATATTTTGGGTTTATTTCCATAAGGAAAATCAGATATTTCTATTTTATTGACTTGTTCCTTGTTCATTCTTCGGTTTCACCAAAGAATGAAGAAGGTTGCGCATTGTTTTGTTATTAACAGGTTTTTTTGTAAAGGCAGAACATTTTTTTAATTATAACACTAAAAGTCATTCTATTCAGCCTTTCACATAAAAAAAACATTTTACAGAAGGAGGACAAAAGGTCTTTTATTAAAGACCTTTAGGTGAATACCTAAATACAATGAAAAAGTTTTTTTGCACTAAAGCTATAAAAAAATGATCAGATGACATACAGAAGTAATGTGTACTGTTATGTTTTATTATTAAAACGAAATCAGACTTTTCAAAAACCATACCGTGTCTATGTGTTTACGAAGGAATAATATCTCGGGTCGTGGTGCTGGTCTTTTCCCCATTATATCACCATATGTAGCGATGGAAATATATATATATATATATATATATATATATATATATATATATAGAGAGAGAGATAGAATAGGAATAAATGACTACTTACTTGCCTTAATTTCATTTGTCATTAAAATATGCAGGACTACAATGTTATATAATAAATTGTTTTTGCATGTATTCAGTCTGGTTGTATGATCATCAGAAAGTAATTTGTTACGTATTTAAAAACTGAAAGTAAAAGATGCATTTCTCTTAGATGCTATTTGCTAGATAGATTTGACTGAATTCATTTATGAATCGAGTACATACGAGGGTCTCTTAATTTAACCATTACAATTTCTTAACTTTTCTTTTAAGTTGAAATAGCCCCAGTCCTGATAGGTACATCACTATTGAGTTAAACTTCAAGTTCATTTTCCAAGTTACCGACCACAACCCATGATGTACGATTTTATGGCCATCTATATTCTTTATCATCAGTTTCACTTAACTTCTCCATTTTTAAAGTAGGTTAAACATGTTATCGTTACTAGAACAATAACGTAATTATATTTATCAAAAGAAAAAAAATCCAAATCAAGATTTTATTGTATAGTGATACAAAAGAATCAAGTTGAGAGGAGGCTGTAAGACGGACGGGCGAGGTCGCTCGCAGTCGCGGGCGCAGCCGGCGCGAAGTGTGAAGGCCGGTCAGCGGCCGAGCTGCTGTTATCGGACCAATCGTAACGATCAACTCACTGAATGTCTACTAATACTAAGCATTAAGAACACCACGTGCCACTGGTTTCATTAATTATCACAAGACGCAATTACGTGCTCTAACTCGATTGATTATATACGCACTCCAAAGCACAAGTGTTGAGTAAGTAGGTGTGTTGGCACAGTATTACTGTCCTTTAACCGAATTGAGTTTAGTTGAGTTGAATTAAGTTTATTGCGATATACGCTTTATACGCGTTTAGGTTACGATTTAAATCGGTTATTTCAGATTTAAATCTTAACCTAAACGCTTTAATTATCAATTACAATTATTAAAAGTACGTGATATCATTAAAAAAACATAATAAACAGTACAGTTACTTATTCATATTCTATACAGTGTTAAAGGAACATTACTTTTAACTATATTCAAATAAAGGTAAAGTAGGTATCTTTATTTGTAAATATGTAATGTGGCACCGACCAATAAATTGAACAATCACTGGCATTCATAAAATTAAAGTGTGTTGTCTAGGTCAAACGTAAAAGTTGTACTCTAACATTGTTCAATTAAAAAAATACCATTTAGCGAAATGAAAATATGCTTGAATGATGATGACTTTTCGAAAGTGAATTCATCAAAAAATGTATACTATACGAAAATCTATGTAATTTTAGATCATTTATTTTACTTTATTTTAGACTCTTTGTTATTTTCTAATTGTTTTCAAAATAATTCGAAATAGCTATCATAGGATCATAAAAACTTATTTTATTGTAGGCTCAATATTGACCTCTTACTTAAGAGTATAAATATATGAAGCTAGCTCATAAAATTGCCTCCTTTTTGCTATCAATCAACAAATTTTGTCAACGAATTAATAAAGTCCAAATTTATATTCATTTAAGTCGCGTTACAATAAGTGTCGGACATTGGGAAGAATTTTGACTTCCACTTTATCACCCCTATAAAGTATATAAACATCAACAAAGTTTCGGTCGATCTATGATGTATAAATATCTTTAGTAGATAGGTAGTAAGGACGAGACAACAAAGGACAGACGGTGCTCAAGAAGAACCCGCCCGTCGTAAATACCTTATTTGGTCTATAAAAACTACTGCTATACCTCGCATTCTACTCAAGCATTGTAAATTATATAATAAAACTTGATTACCAACGATTACGTGATTTTATCAAGATGAAGCAGGTGATCAAAACCTTGGCGAGGGTCACTATGAAACAATAGGCTGCGCGCGACTGGTCCAGAACTTTGCAGAGCATTCGAGGCCTTTTTTGCCATTCTCATTCAGCCACCGTACAGTTATCCCGCGGCCAGTGTTACTGACACAATGCAAGGTTAACATGAGGTGGACGGCCGCACAACTGGCAGCATAGCACTTAAAAGGACATTTACGTTTTGTCGAACCATTCGGATGAAACAGGACAAACCAAAAACCGAAATCCGTTACCAAGAAGGTAGCTTGCTGGACACGAAATATTCTTTTTAGTCTTTGTATAAACTCTATAATGATATTTCCTAGATAATTATTAAAATGCATTTGAACAGTTTACACGGTAGTAACCTTGTATTAAAACATGTCATTTTTTCCTTATAACTAGTTGTTTCACAGGTTATGTAGCAATTAAAATTATTATATGTCAAGAGATTTTAGGTTCGGTTTACAAGATATTAATCGATTCTGAATATTTAAATAATTTCACGTCGTTGTTAAATGGAACGTGGATAACTTATTGAGTAAATTGTACACCGTTTATATTGATTCAAATACTTTTTATTAACTACCCTGCTACTCATCAAGACACTCCTTTCACTATGTACTGAAAGAAGGTTTCCAAACGAAGAAGGTTCGCAAACCCCTTAGAAGGTTTCCTCATGATAATATTTTTAATGAATTAAGCCGGTAATAATAAATTTGTAGTCGGGACTACACATCAACCAAAATATACTCGTACTTACATAATGTTACCTAATGTTTTTGATGAAATTATGTGAGTAAATTGCATTGGGTTCCTGGATGGTTTGAAAAACACAATTGGACCCGGTAAGTGGGGCTGCTGTCGGTATGTCACTAAATTTGTCACCTAATAGGCGGTACGAAGTTCGCCGGGTCAGCTAGTAACCTTATAAAATTTATAATGTTAGCAACTTTACTGAAGAAATATACGTAAATTGTATGCATGTCAATTAATTTCAAGTAGCTACCTTACCTTATAAAAATCTCTAAACGAACGCGTAAATATCAAGACTAGTTGGACGTGGAGACCCTTGACGTTAGTGTAATGCCCATTGTCCATCTCATTACACTCACAGTTAATGAAAGTCAATAACTTAATCTCAGAATGCGGCACACATTCAGTACAAGATGTATGGGATCTCTAATGAGGCACGCTTGTCAATCAACGCAACAATCTCATTTGAACCGTTTCTGTACCCACTCTTTTACTTTCAAAAGCATTTCAATTGGGTGCAGCCATTGCGTCGACAGCGGTCGTTTACTCAGTTGCGAGAAACATCTTAGATTCTTTTTACCTCAAAATTTTAGCACAGTCTCGAACACCTTTCTTTTTCTTTTTAGTTACAACGAGAAAAGGCGGACGGCCAGTCCTAGCGACGGGGGTCAATGTATTCAAGGCGTTTTACCCCTGTCTGATGCAGGTGTTGCACAATAATAGGGAAATTCCTGGAATATTCTACATGAGATCGAGCTATTTATATCTTACACAAGGCAGGACAATGCACAGCTTATGCTATAAATAGCCGTGAATCAATTAAAACTTCCCACATTTGTTGAATGCTAATGAGTTTAGTCATATTTACTATACCAATACAAATTATAAGGAAATCTGTACACAATCTCTGTAAACTTTCCATTAAATATTTATACTTATTGGTAAATGTATCCCCTTTTTAATTGTTGTTGTTATTTATGTAGCCAAGATGTAGCATGTTATTATTTTTAATAAAACGAAACACATTGTATTAGAAAACTTTTGCTTTGCAGAGCTCGACCTGGAAAGTACGTTTTGTACTCAAATGTACTAAAACAACTATTGACTTTTGCGAGATAAGTCAGCGCTCATAAAAAGCGAAAAAATAATGCCAAGAAAGGGATAAACGTTCTTGACTTTCTCATGTCATAGATTTTCCTGCCCTAATTGCAAAATATACTTTCTATATTTAAAGCTTTGTATTTAGAATGTTCCAAATACCGTCCAAACAATAAGTTAAATAAGTTTCCATATGTCTTGATCTTATTCATCAAGGTCTTACTCATCTAGTTTATATAGGACGTGTATCTGTATTGATAAATATCATTACCTACTATTATTATTGACATAAGGTTTTTTTTTAATGTGAGAACTGGTAAATTTCTATGTTGTCAGGTACTTCTGAGTTTGTCATCCTTGACTAGAAATGTTGCCGAAGGCAGCATATTTGTCGGATCATTCGGTTACCTTCAATACGTGACCGTATTTGTGCGATAATAATAATCGTGGGGGCTAATCATCTCCGTATGCCTTTACTCAAATTGCGTGACATGTTGGAAAAGACTGTTTTTGGAATTTATGGGCTACTTCTTAACAGGGTCAGCCAGTTGTGAATCACTTACTCGTGTCTAGCAGCGATATAAACGAAGGTATGGGAATAGGCTGCCAGACAGGAGTGTCTATTTCTGATCTCTACATTGAACGAAACACTAATAGTTGTTTTAGTTGAAAAAAATGATTTAATTTAATCGATTTGAGTAATCATTTACCATTCCTGGGACTTAGACTTAATTTGTTTTATTATTAATTACCATTAAACAAACAAATAGGGTCATAAACAATAACAAGTCGTAAGTGATTAATTTAAACACGATGCCTTCGATTAACAAGTTCTATGAACTCATTTATAATTTAACCCAGCGTTTACATCTTCTGTGAGAAACTACTTTTATGAGTTGAATATTGTGTTTGTTGACTTTACTTGTTAGGTGCCGCAAGTTATTTTGCAGGATGGCGTTTAATAGCATATTTCGAAATTCCCTTGTTTAGCAGTAAACAGAGATCGCGTAAGAACACAAACAATGTGTTTGTAAACATAGCGCTTCACGAATACGTCTGAGCAATACGTGGAAAAGTAGATGTTATCAAATTTATTAATTTTGCAATTTCTTTAGCGCGATACATACTGCACAGTGTTGATAGCCACTTAATACATTATATGTATCATCTTTATACCATATTGCTGCTCAATTTAACTACCTTGTATATACCTATAAAACATACCTACCTACATTCGGAGTGTGTGATATTTTAGTTTCTCTTTTTAATTTTTCAATGTAATCTTTGCTTTACGTAGGTTTTAACTAATAACTTGAACAAGATGGATAAAATTTAAGTATAATTATAGTTATTGTGGAGCGTAAGGAGATGTCACCTATCGAGGTGTGGAGCAAAAGTAGACAAGTAAGTATATCTCGTTTGTCCGAATCGAGTCACTCGCGCCAAACGGGCCATCGATGTCCTTGCATTCTTTAGAGGTAGAGCAAAATGGTACCGGTTCAATAACACTTGACAATGTGAAGGGATCAGCTCTTTGGCTATGAGGCGCGGTATCTTACGTAATGAATCAGGCGTGAGGGTCGAGAACTCGAGAACGTTTGGCGGTCGCGAGCTATCAATCCTGATGTTTGAAATAATCGATCTTTTCACATTTTTGAAATATTCAGATGTAATTACAATCAACATTATACTGAGTCGCATTCCTTAGGAACTGTCTATATCCATAGCCGTGAATAAACATTTAAGTAGGTCAGATCTGCCGCTGCACCGCCTGTATGCCTCTTGGTGTTTAATATATTGAGGTGTAATATTTGAGTAGCCTATTGTACACACTTAAGCAAATTTTACTGGCAATCATTTTTGTCAATATTTCATCTCAAAACATGCAGCTTACCCGACGGGTAAACACTCGTAAAATATTAGAGATACACAAGAAGAGAGTTATACTCACAAATAAGTTAAGAATGTACTGACATAAGTCATTCAATGTGTACAGTTGGAGTAGGTATATAGTATATATGTAAATGTAGTACCTACACGGTACGGGACGATATGTTTGTTACAGTTGGAATAAAAATATAGGTGATAGGTATGTTTTCCGCAAGGAAAAAAAAAAAAAAAAAAAAGGTGATAGGTATGTGCCGTAGAATTTTATAAATTTAGTTTTTAATTTAATTTAGATCTATAAATTAAATACATTTAGATTTTTCGGAATTCCTCATTTTGCCCCATTTCACATTTAATCGTTTACGTAGTCATGTATTAGACAAAACCTTAACGCAGTAACCAACAAATAGCATCACTTTATAAAAAAAAAAGATATGACAACACTTCACAAAAAATATTGAAATCATTCCAGTTAACTTCAGAACAGGATAAAACCATAAAGTGCCTACTGTGACTTTTTGTTCCGTATTTGAACACGAAACATTATCCACGGTCACAGTAACGCGATGCTATTGTACTAGAATAATCGTAATGCATTCAAGTACAGAACCACAAATTAGTTTTTTATTCTCGAGTGTAGAGGGCAGCGCGGCGGCGGCAACGACGTCATGTTTACAAACAAAGAGATCAACGCACGCCAAGTAGGTTAGCGCAGCAACGCGCCGAGTGCGCCCGCACAACCGCCCGCCGCGCACCGGCCCGTATTGCGCGGGTCGTGGTCTCAGAACATCAACTTTCAAACTAAACGAACGGACACACATAGTACATTGAGATATATAAGATACTCAGAAGCTATAAACTAGAGTATTAAACACGTTTCTAAAATATTTTTCTTATTATGTTTATTTTATTACATTCGACACATCTGACATAAGATCATTAAATGAGTTATGGAATATTTTAATGAGGTTTAAAATGGTTTAGTAGATGTAACTTTAATAAATGAAATTTATAAATTCTACGACAGTTATGTGGAATGAGGTCAAAGTTTCTGGAGGGCAACAATCGTGCGCTTCCGCAGGAGAAATCGTTACAATGACCTCTCAGAAACGCGCCGGAAGAAAGTTCCTACCGATTTGCATAGAGCTCGACGAGCAACAAACGATGGCGATCCTGCTCTCGCTTGGCTATGCGATGACCTACATAGACATGGTTATAGTACATTGTCGCGGACCCATTTCCGTGGGTGCACGACCACGACCACTGCCTGGCTCGCAGATCGACACACTTCGCTCACTCTGAAAGTTTCTCCATTAGAGAAACTTACAATATCTAATAGCACCGACATCCGTTTATGCAGATTTCAAGAGCAGGCCTTCATAGAGTCTGTGACCTAAATAAGAACGTTACAACGCATAATTAGAACATGTAGAGAAAGGTTGTTTATTTTACAAAACCATTAATCCTATTTTAACATGTAGTCGTTCGGTTTGTTCGCCAACATGTTCGCCACGAGTTACTCGAAGGCCAAGTTGTGAGACTGCACTGTTTAAAAATAAAATTCATAGTGCACCCAGAATGTATGACAACATCAACTCGTTTTCATTACAAATGCTAGGTGGCAAGAAAAACTTGCACTAGTGTTACGTTGGAAAGCATAGACATTTCACCATGAAGGCTAGAAAGTGTATATAAGAAGAAAGTGAAGAAGTAGGGGAAAAATGTGCAATACAAGTGCACGGAGGCGCGGGAACGCGGTTACAAACAATACGGACTCGTTCCGAATCTCTGTCGTTTCCAGTTCAATCACCATCACTTTTTCTCCCTAGATGAAACCGCTGCACTCGCTTGCACACATTTCTCGCCTATCTACACGTTTGCCTAGTTCTTGTATCAATGAATTCATTTTTACTTTCTTTTCCGTTCGCTCTTGTTCATTTGTTTCTCATGTGCTTCCACATTTTACCCAAATATACTCTGTCCATTTTTTTAATTTCTCTTTGATAAATGCCTAAGAAGATAACTGTGTCATAGTTGGAATAACTAAACTTAAAATGCCCTTAATTATAAACATAATTTACTCTCATTTCGTTATACTACCTATTTAAAATTATTCTGAGACTGTGCTTATAGTTTTTTAAAAATCATTTTCTATTCAATATGAAAAAAATTGCGAACTATTGTAGTGTTGTGATATGTGTTAAAGCTTTCTTCTACATAAACGAATGGTTATTTTTTATTATATTTAATGCTATTGATTGAAATTCGAGTCTAAACTTAGACTACATTCGTGATTGGTTCAATTGACTGATTTTCAATAAAGAACATTTTTGTTTAACCTTTTACATGTATTTTTTTTTATATGTACAGTGTTATAGTTATATTCAGCGTGGTTCATATAATTGTTTTGTCATTCAATATTTTCAGCCATTTTGTTTTTGCGATCGGATTAATATTTCCTCTAAAATAAAATTATTAGGTTCTTTTTAATTGAGTCGGCAACATTTTTGGTCAATACTAATTTACTATTTATAGAACTACCAAAAAGAAAATGAATTAATGGACTCCAAATGGGCTGTAATTTAAACTATTGAAATCAATTAATAAAGTAATTAAAAGCGGTGAACATACAATAACAAAATAGATGGATGTGTACCACGTATCCTCGTTTTATAGTCGATAGTTAGTCGATAGGTAGAAACATATTAATTTGTGTTCATAATTGGAAATACAAGTTGCAAACAAGAGTCATTTCCTGTACCTGAAAGTGAAAATCGTACACATCGTGCATACATTGCTCTATACGTGCATAGATGCATATCACGCTAGGCGCGATCTTCACATGCCGATGTGATCTAGCAGGCATCTGTTTGTTTTTTATAAGACCCTGTTTTCGACTCGAATATAAGAACCTATTAAAAGAGAATGAAGATCAAATATTCTGTGCTGAGTAGATATAGTGACAGTTTCTTGTGTCAGTTCCGTTAAATAGTTCGGCTGGTCACATGCGAGCGATAAGTCCGAGAGAAAATATAAGCATTATGGCTGCAGCACGACATACGTGCACTTCATATTCAATTGTTAAGTTTGTATGCAACATAACTATCTGAAATTCAGAACCTAGGGCACTGCACTCGGTTCGTGATCACGTTTTGTATAATTATGATTTCTATGTTTATTTTAAATCTAATGATAATTTAAATGTCATGTGCGTGCATGTGTTTGCCATTACTTCATTAGTTATCACGTGTACATCGCAACGCGTAGGTACTGCGGTGAGTCGCCGGGAAAGCCGCCGAGCGTCAAGCAACGTCGAGAGAAAGAGTGTGAAGGAGAGAGATGTGCATTTCACCGCGCGGGGTCAACGCGCTCGCTATACTGTCGCTGATTGTGCCCCAATTGTAGTATGTGGGTCTAGGCCGGCGTTCGTCGACCCGCGTGACACACTTAGCGGCGCCCGCGCACGACCGGTGTGCTTTCACGCCCCGCCACGGTGGGGGTACTACTCGGAAAGCTGAGAAAACTTAGCTCTGTACATGGGCGGGCAACGCTTTAATAATTAAACAGCGTACTTTAACGCGCTTACTTACTATCTGAACGTTTGAAATAATTAAAACGACGAATTGTGTCTGGGTATAATTTATCTATAATATGTATGTATTTAGAAATATATAAGTATGTTTATCAGCTGTCTGGTTACCACAGTACAGGCTCTGAATAGTTTAGGATCAGACAGCCGAGTGTGCAATGTGTGAGGCTATTATTGAAGATTATGCATTTACTTAAATCACTTAAAATTTTTAGACTGTGCTTATGCACTAGATTGATAAGAACAGAATCTCTCTTGATTTTACACTGTACAGTTATATGCCTATTGATCTATAAAATAATCTTATTTGATTTATTCTTTCTGCACAAATGTGTCAAAACTGTAATTTTCTTCCAGTCGATCTTAGGGCGATGCAGAGCTAACGCATGGTAGGTACACAGAAATTAAAAATGTGATTTTATGAAATATATAGCATGATATTCTTATCATATACCTAGAGCACTTTTATAAATTGATAGTATACTTTTCAGATTATTTGAATGGATTTAGAAATTTATTTAAAAAAGTTTAAGATTCAAGAAGGAGAAGAATTTATTAATAAAATCACTACATTTGTCGTTACCGAGGTTTTCGGCGAGACATTAAAAATGATATTGCAACATGTTTAATTTATGGTTAATTCCTAACATTTTAAAGTTAGGCAATATTCGAAGTAGGTTAACTTGAAAATGTTAAAATTTTACTCGAGTCTTTTTTGCGTGGTAAATTTAAATATTATCATCATAATTTAAATATTAAAATAATGACATTACTATTGACAATATACCTAAATAAAAATAATATTTAATTAAATTAAAAATAAAATGTAATCTGTGCATCCGACTGTATGACATTTACAAACTTTGATTTATTGAAAAAAATCACTTACACAAGATATTAATTTTGCTGAAAGTACTTTATACTAATTTTAGATAATAATATACATACAGGGTAAAACATCATTTTCATCAAAAGATATGTTTGCCGATTTCATTATCCTCTCACTTATTCTCCTAAAAGGGAAAGTCCCTTTTCTTAAACTTTTTATTCATAGTCATGCAGTGAGGCTTAAATATAATATAATAAGAATATTGTACCACATTCACAAAATACTACACAGTTCCAAACTAAGCAAAGCATGGCTACTAGACAGCTGATATAAATACATAAATACTTTTTTTTTGTATACATACTTATTATACATAGAAATACCCAGACCAAATCAAACATTAAATGTTCATGCACACAAATGTTTGACTGCAATCGGAATAGCAGTCCGTTACACAAACCACTACGCCATCCGGTCGTCGTTATTTTGATATCGTTTACAAATATGATACAGTTTACTGTAATTTATTTCAGTCATCACTGGAGGCCCTGTAAGCATTGCTTGAAGTTGTTGCCATGTCGTCAAAACATTAATTATACAAAGAAAGTACAATTTATATAATAATACCTGTTTAATGCTACTAATATTGATCCTTATGGGAATGCAGCTCAATTAAGTACAGTGGGCCAACTTAATGAATAACTATACACGATAGGCGTTTGTTACTTGTTGGCTTGGAGAGAACAAGGTCGGGAAATCTGGAGCAAGGTCAGAATGGATGAAGTCTTCGAGTGATAGCGCGACCTCTATATTCATTATCGCCTCGAGATCACAAACGTATGCCAATGCACACTCTAATACACTTCCATCGAACTCATTTAAAAACTAAACGAACACTGGCGCACTTATGTGAATGACTGCGACAAGTAGGAATTGCTACAAGAGAAAATAATTAATTGTAAGGACGTTTTTTGCTTTGCTATACCTACATATTATAAAGGACGTCGAGTTGTTTTCATCAAAAGTAATTACAATGTAAGCGAGCATTGCTACTAATACGTAGAAATCTTATTTACAAATATTATCCATAAATAAAGCGACTGGGACTAATATGAGCACTTATGTCGACAGTCTTTTACTATTCAAAAACAAGAATGTCATTATTCGGCTATAAGTGTTAACAGAATTAATTAACAAACTAAATAAATTTCTCATTGCTTGCCGTTTTAGAGCTGTAAAAAAGGTCGGAGTGTGCTGTTCAAAGGCTTTCAGTGGCACCTCATCGCGTCATTGCCTGCATTAATAACACCAATAAACAAAGCTATAACAAAAAGTTTATTGTGTTGGTAATTAATGGCAGCATTTGCTATACTGTCATAATTAAATGGTTGTTCAAATGGAGCAGGTGTGCAAAAACAGAGTTCTTGGAAACGAGAGAGCGTTCAAAGAACCTGTTGTGTATGTACTTGTTTATTCCGAGACGATAAATACATTTTACGCATAGTAGAATGATGTCATTCAGGATATTTAAAAGTACTGCACTTAAAGTATAATAAGGGCTTAACTGTTTCTAACTTAAACAAGTAATTCTAACAGCTAAACCTCAATATGTATTGGAGTGTTTTTATATCGACATCACTCTTTCCTCGATAAGGCTTGAACTCTCATTAAATTGCAAACCCGGGGCTTTAGTTCTACCTACTAAAATAATAATAATGAAACATTTTAAAAATTAAGTTATTCATAGAAATTAATGACAAATAGCCAAACAATAGAGTGAGACGGACTGAAACGATTTTCCTATTTAAGTGTTCTAACATATTTATATGAATCACAGAAAGTCCCCAAAGAACTATGCATTTTAACAAAAAATACTTATATGGA